AAGTGTTTTAGCTCAGAACCAGGCGCTCTGATGCCAATTGAAGTAGTGAAAAACACAAGAAGGGGGGGTTGAATTGTAAAATTGAAAATCAATGCAATAAACAAGATATTTTTATCCTGGTTCGTTTGATCTCAAACTACTCCAGTCCACACGTCAAGGTGATTTCGCCTCTCTCCAACGAGGTCTTAATCCACTATATTCAACTGAATATTACAGACTGCTTTAACAACTGCTAAAGCCTTCTTGATGCAAACCACAACCCGGTTTGTCAAGGAAACACTTTCTTACAAAGAAGATAAATCTAAGTGTGTGAATGTTTTCTACAAAACTGTATCACAACTGTGATGTATACACAACTTAAAGCTTAGAAACTAGATTGCTAAACAATGATTGAATAAGAGAATGTGTAGTGTTTAGCAAAACGAGAGAAGGAAGATTATGATCAGCTTTTAGGCGTGTAAAGATTGGAGAGCATTAGCCAATTCAATCTTCAAAGTCTTGTTTATATAGCACTGAGATGTTTGAATGTTTGAGCAATATTCTTGATTCAATGCTAATAACAAACTTTCCTTATCGAGCAGATCTTGTCTGGAATGAGGCCGTTGGTATTAATTTGCTTTCAATGCACAGTACCGTTGCTTACTTAATGCAAGTTCTAGCTTGGCTCATTCTGATTCTGCTTAGCTGCTGATGAACTGTTGTGTTTCTTTATCAGAGTGTTGAGCGCAGTTCTGTTCATCAGACTTCAGCATATACGTGAATTAATCTTCTGATTCTGATATTCTGATATGGCAACTTCTGATGCTGATGTCAGAAACCAAAATTCTGATGCTGATTAGGTGTGATCTTGCTTATACCAATCAGACTATCTGCAAATCAGAACGTAATAATTTAGGAAGCATATAGTTCATACATGAATCATATAAGTAATATATCTTTTCACTTTGTTATCATCAAAACTTAAACATAGGGTAGTAGATTCAAACTTTGTTCTAACATTTTTTTTTCTTGCTCAAACTTTCTGTCTCTTTTCAGCAATTTTTCTGGGCCTTTTTTCAGTGACTAATGGCGTTCTATTTATAGGAAAAGTTTTGTGGGTTTTAAAATGTCAAGTGGTGCCAATATCATGCATTAGATGCTGACTTTCTCTTGAAGCAAATTCCAAAAAAGGTATGATGGCTGACAGTTTTTTAGCTTAGGCTGGAGTAGCAAGCTAGGATTAAGGAAAAGTGAACCTATAAGCAAAATGTAGCGCATGGGCCTTTACCTAATCCTCCACAAAAGTAATTCTACCTTACACGTGGAGAGATCCTTTGGACAAAGACTTAAAAGTGGTTATGAGCATTAATGAGCATTAAATGATGATGAGATTTGTCAAAATCAGAAATCCTATAATGTGAGATTTTTCATCATTGCTTAACTTTAGGTCAGAAATCCCATTCAGGACGAACATCCAACTTCTGATCTTCTTACTTTGTATCTTGTTGCCTCAGCAAGCTCTGAAGGATCCTCAGGCTTTCCAGTAAATTTCTTTGATTTTCCTCTGAAAACCCTGAACTTAGAGATTCTGCTTCAGTGTAGCACCCAATCTTCTGACCCTCTTACCTTCTGGTTCTAGCATGTTCTGAAGGATCTTTCAGGCTTCGTACTACACTTTATTAGAATTGGTTGGCACCTCAAGTGATCGAGTGAAGATCAAAATACTTGATAAGACTTTGGCTACGTCCATCGTAGATGAAATCCTCGTAGTGGATTATATTGGGTCAATGGTAGTCATATCTCAAAGGGGACTGAGTGAAGATCAGCCTTTTGAGATCATTGATGGATATCATTAGAAGGAAATCTTGATAGGAGATTATGGAGAATCAGATTCAGTTGGGTCAATGAATGTTATATCCAGTTTGGATCCGTGAATGTTTCATTGGATGTTAGTCACCGGAGGTTACCCGTGCGATTGTAATCAAAATTATTATAGTGGATTAAGTCATTGAGTTCAAGAAGAAATCACATTGGAAGGGTGGACTGGATTAGCTTGGGGGTTTCTCAAGTGAACTAGGATATATCGCATCTTCTTTACTTTTGCTTATGCTTTAGAGTTTATGTTTTCTGAACCAAATTAGAAGCATTAATTAGAAGCAACAATAAGAAGTATTTTTCAACGAATAATTCTTATAAGCGAAAGCTTTACAAGAAAGGAAAACCTTATTCAACCCCCCCCCCCCTTTTCTTGCATTTTATTCACACCTTCAGGTGTTTCCAGAAAATCCCATGTGGCTTGGTCTAAAGTTTGTGCACCAAAGGATCAAGGAGGATTAAATGTGATTTCTCTTTGTGAGTGGAACAAGACGAATTTAGCTAAGCTTTTATTGAATTTGGCTGGAAAAACTGACAGCTTATGGATTAAGTGGGTGCACGTCTACTATATTAAAAAATTTCCTTTGATGAATATTCAAATAAAGTCGGGCTACTCTTGGATGTTCAAAGCCATCCTTAAACAAATAGCCATTATGAAAGATATGAATGAATGGAATATAATATGCATGAAGTTTGATATGAGGAAAATGTATAATTTCCTCAAGGGGGACCAATCTAAAGTGGAGTGGAGGCATCTCTTTCATAGGAATTTTGCGAAACCTCGTACCCTGTTTATTTTCTGGTTTGCTTGTCACCGAAACTAGCAACTAAAGAAAGGCTCAATCATTTTTGGATAATCAATGATAATTGTTGCATGTTTTGTAACCAAGTAGAAATGCTTGATCACTTATTTTTTCTTGCATATGTATGAGGAATATTTGGACCATTGTATTAGAGTAGCTGCAAATTTGCCATTGTCCTGGTGAGTGAAAGGAAGAATTGCAGTGGACTATGAGGATTGGGATATGGAAAGGGCGGAAAGCAATGATGCTTAGGAGTGCGGCAGCAAAGATAATATATGAAGCTTGTAGATATAGGAATAATATGTGTTATGGGAAACATGTAAATATAAATGACATAGAGGGTATAATGATAGATAACATTGTCTATAAAGGTTTGAATATCCCAAAAGTTAGGAAACATCTATTGGAACTTATGATTTAGTTTGTGGTTGTTTTAGTCTTTTTGTCTATAGGAGGTTGGATCCTTGGTGATCACGTTGTGTAATCTGTTTTTGGTTTTAATATAAGGTCTGAACCGATGATATCTCCATCAATTTGGTTTGGTTTGGTTTTTAACAATTTTCAAAAATGGAACTGAACCAAACTAACCAGTTTGCTTTGGTTCGGTTGATTGGTTTACAATATTTTTTTCAAACATTATATTCATCAATGTATTCTCCACTATCGTATTTTTTGTGTGTATTTTATGCAATTATTTTTTAAAATAATACCTTTCATGTAATTTATTCCATGCTCTACTTTTTCAAATAAATTAGAAGTCGGTCTTAATACATACAAAACATTGACATAATTTTAATTGCATCATGAAATAATTTCACTATCAAATATAAAAGTTAACAATTGGCATCATAAGGTTTGGAAGGGATTTGAAAGCTTAACAAATATAACACGACAAAAAACACATCAATTCACATGTTTCACGCCTCAAACACACGTTAAAACTATTTTATATTAAGTGTAAGTAATAAATGCGTCTAAAAAGGGGGTGAATTAGGCACTTTGAAATTTTATCGGTTTTTAAAGATGTTGGAATTATTTTTCTGGTTAATGGTTATGTTATGAAAGCAATAAAGTGCATAAAAATAAATGACATGAGGATGTATCCTGGTTTCCCTCACAGTCCGAAGGTACGTCCAGTCCTCTTTCAACACAAAAGAGATTTTACTATTGTTGGAACTTGTATAATACCAAACACAATTACAAGAACAATCCTCTTGTGAACCACTAAGTTGAAATGAGAACAATCTTCTCACTTTCAACCTCTTGCTTCCAACAATCCTGGATAATAAGGTATTTATAACCAATTCTAGAAAAATATTAAGAAAGAATATGAATATGTATCAACTAATAAGATTGATCTTCCCTTCCAAACAAGTAACTTATAATGATAATATAGTGCTCAAGTGTTTATAAATATGATACGTATTTTTCTGGACAGATATGGAAACAAATGCAGAAAAATTCTTTGTGAAAGTTCAAGAATCAAAACACTTTGTTTGAAATTTGAATGAATATAATGATGTTAAATTGCAATGGAAGAGGTGAGTTTCAAATTTGAGAAAGTAGAATATATATATATAATACCTTAACACCTATTTAAATGTGTATGATTCAATGAAAATAAGCAATGGTTAAGGGATATGTTTTTCAAAATGTTCAAATTTCAAAATAGACTGAAATGCTACTGCCAGTTGTGGAAATTGATTTTGAGAAATAGGGTAATCGATTTCCTTTGAAATGTTGCAACTGATTTTTAAAAAAATCATGAAGGAAATCAATTTTTCATATATGGGGTAATCGATTTCCATAACTAAATTTTATTTTCTAGAAAATGTTGGCAGGTTGGTTTACAAAGAGGAAATTGATTTACCATATAGGGGTAATCGATTTCCTGAACTGAATTTTGAAAAATATTTTGTTTTTCAGCCAGAAACAATTTGTAATTTTGAACACAAATGACCAACTCATGCAAGTGAGTTTTGGAGAATATTGAGCACAAAGTTTATCAATATAAATGCATGCTTGTACCTCTATTAAACAAGATCTATGCTAGTCTTCAAAGTAGAATTCTTGAGTAATTTGTTGCTAGATTTCACACATGATGAGTCTTGTGCTCGAGGCTTGATAAAGATTACTTAAAGCTTTTCAATACTTTTTGATAAGATCATTTGAATTGTACTTTGTACTTTATCTTCATCAAAATACATTGGATGGAGAGACTTGTCTTCACATTCCCCCCTTGTTTATGATGACAAACAATTGAAGCTTTATGATCAATATTCCCCCTAGCATTGATTTCTCCCCCTTGATCCATGCATCCATGTATCAGAGTTGCTTTAAAGTTCAAAGCTTTCTGCATATTTTGTTAGAGAAATAAATACCATAATAGCATAATAACTTCTCCCCCTTTGTCATTAGCAAAAAGGATGGTAAAATTTTCAAGATTGAAACATTAAGCATAATAACAAAGTATAATTAATCAAACAAGGCATAAAATAACCATAGCATAATTATCAATCACAACATAAAACTTGAAAACATAACATAACACATTAAGTCTTGAACAAACAAATAACAAAAACTACAAAGAAATAATATTATCTTAGAAAGCATAAACATAATTGAACCATATAATAATATTGAAAGAAAACATAACGAATGAGACATAAACATATTACTCTCTTTCATCCATTTCTTCATTCTCCTCATTCCTTTCTTCCTCTTCCTTTTCTTCATCTTCATTTTGATGACGATTTTGTTGTTTGAGAAAGTTGAAATCATCGCGAATAGCACTAAGTTCGGACGAGTGACAAATGTCCATCTTATGCAATTTGCTATAGAGAAACTCCATGGTATATCCAACTTCGGGAGTGGGAGGAGGGGCATAAACGTTTTCCACATCCGTATGCTTGAAGATTCCATCAACATCTTTAAAAATTCCCATGTTCTTCAAACAAGTGCTACTAGTGATTATGCTTGTCTTCCTGTTTTCTTTTAGGGTTCTCGATGCAAACTAATTCCATAATTTTCCAAAATCTTGGTAATTGCTCTAGCATAAGGATAACCACTTGTTAAGCTTTTGAAACATTCCATATAACAGAGAATTACATAAGCCAATTGATTTTCATATTATTCTCCATAGAAAAGGGAAGCATCATGTCCATATCACCAATTTTAGTGTAATTGTTCCCTCTTGGAACAAGCACATAAGCGAGAAAGTAATGAAGCATACAATCAGCATACAATCACTTACTGACAAATTTTTACTTGACACAAACAGTTTGGTAGAGGATGAACGAGCTTGTTGGGAATAAAATTCTTGTTGCGAAATCCGACAAATGCTAAATAAATAATTCATCTTATTGTAATTTCCCAACATGGAGTGTCTGGAGTAAAATCGGGAACAATCTTTACACCTTCAGAAGGAATACCTAAGAATGAACCAAAATCTACCAACAACATATCAATAGAAGTACCTCTAACTTATGAGTTAAAAGAACAACCCAAATGTATAGTAAGGTGAGCATAAAAATCTCGAATCAAATATGGATAAAATAGCCCTGAATCATATACAAAATCCATAACCCCTTGAGTTTCTAACATAGCAGGAAAAGTGAAACTATTAGAAGGAAAGGTTTCAAGTTTACCGAATTTTGGAAGGAATATAGCCCTTTGTCTGAAGTTTGCCATTAATCTTCTCAGCTTCACAGTAGTTTGGACTTGCTCTGAGTCAGAATCAGGAGCATTGGAGCTTTCACCAATTTTTGCATTTCCCTTTGCATGTCTAGGAGGTGCCATGAAAGCTTGGAGGATTTAGATTTTGAGAATGGATTTTCGTTTTTTGCCTTTGAGTAAGGATAAGTGATTATGAAAAATAGCTTATTTGTGTTTAGGTGTGAGAAAATTGATATATATTGGTTTTATGATAGTGATATTTAAAGTGAGATAGTGTTGGCAAGTTGAGAGATTTGAGTGGGTAGTAAAGGATAGGTGTCAATGAGTTTGAGTTCTAAGGATAGTGGGTGGAAGGTGGAAGATGAGAGAGATGAAAGTTTGATTAACATTTAAAACAATCAAACAACTTAAATTAAAAGTTGAAAAATAAAACACAAATTCGTAAAGGAAATCAATTTTCCATATAGGGGTAATTGATTTCTGCCATTCAAAATTGCATATTCCAGAGGCCCAGAAAGTGAAACAATTTCTCTGGAAATCTATTTTTGCATAATGGGTAATCGATTTCCGCATAATTTTTTTGCCAAATACAAAAAAAAAGCAGTGGCATTATGTGATACGGTGGGAGAACTGACTTGGGTGTTTTGCGTTTTATCACAAATGTTGTGGATAGCAAGAGTGGCCACCGACTTTTATTTTATCCAATAAAGGAAATGGTGAAAAGAACAGGAAATACCTTTTGAGAATTTTCTTGAGTTCGGGGGGGTAGGTTATGAAAAGGGAAGGTGTTAGCACCCTTTTCATCTGTAGTTATCTACGGGCTCTTAATTGCTTGATCACTTTGAAATACTTTGTGTTTGTGTCAGTTTGAAAATATTTTGAAAACGCCTAAGTTTGGAAAACTTTGCAATGATTCTCGTATCGTTGAGAATGTATACAAAGTGTTGGTTTTGAAAATATTCGTTTGAAAGGGGGATGTTTTGAAAATGCCAATGTAAGGCCATTTTGTAATGAATCTCGTATCGTTGAGAATGTATACGAAATGTATGTTTTTGAAAGATGTTTTAAAAGTGTGAGGTGTGAAATGGTTTTGTTTGTGAGCAAGCAATTACGGGCAATCTACCTACACAACAAATCTTTGTTCTTTTCCTCTTCCCTTAGATAGTGTTATTTTACCATGGGTTGGTAGAGAGCCTTATCATTGGATGTGAGAGACAGACGTGGGTCATCGTACAGTCATAGAAGGCAACTTATAATATATTTTAGAAATTATTGTGAGGGACTAAGATCATTTACCGAAGGCAACATTTGAAGGATCATCGAGGGACTATGATCTTTTAATCGGGGGTCTTTTGCTAAAACATCTCACATTCGAGGGACATGACTGTTTTCATCTGAGGCAACAAGTGTGGGTTATCCTAGAGGTGCATGTGTGCAAGGTGTTTTGATTTCAAATATTTTGTCTTTGAATTAGGGTTTTCTATGGTTTGATTTTAAGTCTTGTCATGCAAACCCTAATTACTAGCAATAATAAAGAAAGCGATAAATTGTGGAATTTAAATGTCCTACGCTATTACAACGCTTTAGGAATGGGGGTACATGTTTATAAATGAGGGGAGGAAAGCAATAAAGCCCTAATTACTATTACAAACTATTGAATATGAATTACAATAATAATACAAAAATGTAAAGATGAAGAGGCAAAAAGAAATTATTTTTTTAGGATTTTTTAATGGAGAAAAAGTTTAATGTTTTAACCTAATTAGACTAATTAATTTTATTCACAAAAGAAGTTAATTAATAATTTAATCAAAACCTAAAATCTAAGTTAATTAAAATAAAAACTAAATCTAATTTAGTTTGTTTAGAAAATAAACTTTGTTAATGTTAATTACAAAAAATATTCTAGAAGGTAAAAGAAATAATAAAATTTAATTTAACAAAAATAAAATACAATATTTAAATTAAAATATTTTTAATTTAAGAAAATTTATTTTTTTGTATTTTTAGTTTAAATAAAATAAATAAAGAAATAAAAAATAAGAAAATATAAAGAATATGAAAATATTGGGTTTGGGGGTTAAAAAGTGAAAATGGGGGTTAAGAATTAGTAAAAAGAGTTAGGCCCAAGATGTTTTTGTTTGAAATCAGAAAAATGATAAAATAAAAAATAAGATGTGGGCATGCGCTACCTTTAGTAAAAGAGGTGGTGAGAATCAGCAAAAACAAAAACATAATGAGGCCCAAACTCTGAGCCCAATGCCTATTTTGATCTCATGTTGTGGCTTATTGTGATGTATCATGGACCTACTCATGTGGTGCGTTGGATCTAGTTGCCCAATGATCAGATGGTGTATATTAGAGGAACACAATGCACACTCTTAGCTTGTTTGCACCTGATTAGTATGAAACAAACATGAAAATAACAAAATGTCCCACGCTTGGCTCTAACCCATGACCAGGCACAGAAATGCCTTATACGCGGGTGCTCTGCCACTAGGGTGGCTGCTACATCCGGTACTAATGCAACTTGCACTAAATTTAAAATAAACTCAGTCCTAATTACAACTTCATCTTCTTCCTTACGCCAGCCACCATTGTTGCATTTTCAAATTTCTGATCTTGCTCATTTCTCAACCATTTGCAAAAGTATAAACATGAAACTTGCTCCATTTTTCAATACGAATTCAACCATGTAAACAACTTAAACTATAAATCAAGGATGAACATTAATTTCTGTTGGTACCAAATAAAGCCTAACTTTTTCAGAAAGTTCAAACTCAAAATTCGCATCACTCAGGCAACATAAATGAAAACTAAAGGCATGGTTAGCTTCAGGACTACGATGTCTACATTTTTCATTCACAAAGTAACCATTAATGATGCTTGTAGAGAGAGTTCAAAGTTGAGAAAACTTACCTCAAACAGGAAATCTTGTATGGAGTTTGAGCACTTTTGGAGGTTTTGTGATGATCTAGATTGCTTCACTGGACTCCTAGGCAGCTAATACAACTCTTACTTTGTGCTGAAAGTGCTTGAAACGTGTTGGAGAAGTCAAGTTACAGAGCTGAGTTTTTGAGTTTGGAAGATGATGAAGATGGAGTTACAGTTGTGAAACAGGGATGTGGATGAGTTTTATATGATGTATGGAAGCTTTATGATTGATTTCGAGAGGAAACACACGAGAGGATTGTGAGATGGAAGTTCAAGGTCAGAAATGACAAGCTATGGAGGTTTTTATGTAAATTCTGGTTTGAGGGTGTTTGAGGGAGTTTGAGGGCTTGCAAATTCGTGTTTTTCTTGCAAAATAGTGTCTCTATTCATAGGGAAAGGTTGGAGAAGCTCAAGTTGATCAGAATTCAAAACCACATGTTAAGTTCAACATATGATTTTCTTGAAAAATCAAGTTTCAATGCCTTGTAGCTTTGATAATAGAGTGGTTAAACACTTTAATCACATTGCTTCTAACCTTGTAGATGGAGTGTGATCAGAGGGAACAAGTGAGAGGCTCAAGAATTGACTTTGTTCATAAAGCTTGCTTTTCAAGAATGGCAATGTTAACTTTCTCCCTAAAATGGCAAATTGACTTGGACAATGCTTAAACCACTTGGATGATAGCTCAAAAGTTTGTGTTATCCATTAATTATGGATAGATACATAAGTTAGAAGGCCTGCAAAGTAAGATTATGCAGCATAACATTGAGATTGGATTATGTGTTCATCAAGAAAATGCCTTTTAATTCAAGAATGAAAGCTCAACTTCTTCTCTTCGATTCTCCTAGCTCAAGCGTGATCTCTTTAAGTTCTTGGACATTTTGGAAAGCTTGAAACATTGTCTAAAACCTTCATGTTAATCAATTTAGCTAAATCATCTTAGAACTAGGTGATAATTGGTCAAGAAGTTAGGCAAAAATCTGCCTAAACTTGTTGAAAATTTCACTAAGTGTTTTATGAAAAATGTCATGACTTTATGAGCCTATATCTTTAAATCTAAGCATTTTTTAGACATAAACCCTAAGGGAAAAAGTTGTAGAATTCATCAAGATTTACAACTTTCATGTTGAAAGTTTTACTTGAATCATCTTGCATCTTGGTGAAAAATTGTCACGAAGTATTGAAATTATCAAGGTTAAAAATACTTAGAAATTTTCTAAGTATTGAAAACTTTGACTTTTTGTGGACTTTCTTGAGTTTCTTGATTCTTGATGATAAATTTTGATATTTTTGAGTGTCTTGATGAATTTTGATCTTTGAAATTTAATGTTGACCAAAAAGTCAAAGTTTAACTTTTTATGTATCTGTTGACTTTTCATCAGTTGATCAAATTTCAAGTATCAATCCATTGATCTTGAGAAATGATTTGATCCTTGAAATTAGATCAACATGTTGTGTTTGAATCCTTGAGATCATGTTTCAAGCCATTAGGTCATGTACTAGGTCAAAAGTCAATGATCAGTCAATCTCAATCAAAACCCTAATTTTGACAAATTTTCCCTTTTAATGATTTGAGTGCTTTTCTTGAGGCATTGTGATCATCCCTTGGTCAATTGATAAAAATCACTTCAAAATGTTGATGTTGTCCAAAAATCATGAAGTTTGACTATATATTGACCACAGTTGACTTTTTACCCAATACAATTGATTTTCCGTCATCTGAGCAATTGACTGAGAAAATTTGTGATGCAAGGTTTGAAACTTGATATGAGCAATCTTGAAGACCTATAATAAACCACGGAAGTAATTTGAGGCATCAAAAGTCCAATTGTCCTTGAGAAAATAAAAACCCTAATTTGGAGGCTCAGTGCTTAAGAGGTGAACTTATCTGATCAAACCCTTGAGAACCCTTGGGCATTTGAGATCTTTGGTGAGAGATGTCTTGAGAAAAGAGAGGGAAAATTTTATGGTACAACAGCTTCCCCTGTTCAATCTTCTTAAACCTGAAGAGTTAGATTGGCTTTTTCGTCATTCGTGACTTGAAGGTAGAAGATGATTGAATACTTAAGTGCCCAAAAATTTGCACTCACTTGTGCACGAAGTAAAACTGTTTGTTGATTATGTCTGGAATGGGCTTAGAGATGTCATTTAGAGAGGTGACTGAAATTTGTCGGAGATGGGCTTATAGA